AAAAAAAAAAAAAAAAAAAAAAAAAAAAAAAAAGTTCAGCAGTTTGTTGATAGTCATGATGAGGTTCCCCCCAGGATTCTAATTAGCCACTGACCACTCAAGTGGGGAAAGCTCTATTCAAGTCTGTTGCAGAAAATTCAAAATGGAATAGCCACGTGGCAGGAAAGGAATCTATCATATACTCAGCCCTGGTGCATAACACCAATACACCTCCTGCCTTGCCACGTGGCGAAAACCCATGTTTTTATTGTCGATAGTCACGATGAGCTTCCCCCCAGGATTCTAATTAGCCACTGACCACTCAAGTGGGGAAATCTCTATTCAAGCCTGTTACAGAAAATTCAAAACGGAATAGCCACGTGGCAGGAAAGGAATCTATCACATACTCTGCCCTGGTGCGTAATATCGCTACACCTCCTGCCGTGCCACGTGGCGGAAACCCATGTTTATAGCCAGAGGGTATGTGCCCACCGGAGAGAAGAAAAGGTAAAATCGTAATACCCACTCGGCAGGGCTCAAAACAATCAACCAAACAGCTCCGGTGTCGGCCCCCACGACACCCCCTGCCAGCTGGCCGAAGCACGCTTGAGTAGGGAAAATTGGAAAAAGGCGAGATCACAACACCCACGTGGGGTCAAACCAGTCAGAAAGACAGCCCCGGTGCCAGTCCTCACAACACCACCTACCTTGCCACGTGGCCAAGCTTGTGTTTATAGAAACTAACAAGAGTAAAATTCGCCAATCCACGTAGCAAATTGTTGTTCAACCCCATGAGCCAACCTATCGCATGCCACCCTATCCGATCTAGCGATCTGGCATTCACTATGTTCAAACCCATGAGCAAAACTTGCCCACCCTGTGGCCCTATGGCCAGATCCAGATTCGGTAGAGCTAGCAGATTGGCATTCACTATCCTATCCCTTCACGCCACCGCCCCAGTCGTTGTCCCCCCACACCCTCTCCCAGTTTATCAATCAATCCATTTAACCGATCCACACGGCCCTCCCCCCACTCAACACTGGATGAGCGAAAGAAGGAAAGCAAGAGGGGAGGCAGAGGGTGAGAAAGAGAATGGCCAGTCACACTTACCACAACATCAGTTTCCGCGGCATCAATGTTGTTGTTATTATTGTTGGTGTTGTTGTCGATATCCCTGGCAGTATCGTTGTCGTTATTGGTGTTGTTGTAGTTGCTATCGCTCCGAGGGCCGCACGAGCTCAGGATCCCTTCTTCCATACCACTGTCGTGCGCAGTGCTGTTGTAGTTGGTGCAGTTGTTATTGTTGATCTTAATGTCCTGTGTAGATGTCAGCGTCGTAATCACAAGCTCTATCGGTCTGATCAATGTCGCTGATGTTATCATCGTGAGTGTCATAGATGCTGATGTAAACATCACCATATCAATAGTTGTCGTTGTTGTAATCGTTGTTGCAACCGTCACAGTCTGTTGCGGACACTTGTCATCATACTCGACGAGCCCCTCCTGTGCACGCTTTTCCAATGTAGTTCGCAGGACATGAGCCTCGTCGAAAAGCTCATAATATCTCTCCATCAAGATATCGACATGCCCCCAGTTGATGAAAGTGTCCAAACGCGGGTCTGGCCCCTCCTCAGCTTCCCAGATGATCTCCATGATAGACTGAGTCATGTCCTCCACCCATTGCTCCAATCCCGAGGCCGCTCCCCCATCGACCTCTGGCCAGGTGTTGGCTGTTGTGGATAAGGCATCCACCAGACCCTGCAATCGACATCGACCCGCCTCCAGGAGGGAAATCCATTGATCAACTTCATATTGTAAATTACTGCTTAACTCCGCCGAACTCGCCATGTACGGTCATCTTCGTGCAAGGACGCCTTCTTCATGCTGACCACGAGATGCCCTCATCTCGCCTGCACCTTCACCTGCCCTGTTTGTCAAATCCATAGCTGGCTGACCCACTAGCAACCTCCGATGGTGACGTCAATGCGTTCGGTCCTCCTCGGCAGCACCAAGGCTTTGGGTCTCGAGACCGCCGGGCGCGCGCTTGCCTCTGATAACATTTTTTAATAAAATTTCAGCGAAAGGAAGGTATATCACTGTCTCTTTCTTGGTTTTGCTTGTTTTTTGCGAGTGTTTTGCTTCTTTGGTATAGGTAAATCGCGATTTATCGAGGATATTCACCCAGATTCACCCTGAGTTAGCTCCGACAAATAAGGATGTTGCAATGAAGGCAACAAGAAAGGGGTGTACAATTTCTAGTTAGGGACTGATTGTAGATGCTACCCACCCTGTGAATTATCATATCTCCTGGTGTACTGGCCACCTAAGTAAAAGTTAAGAAGAAAAAAATAATTTCTAACAGACAGGCGGCGAGGCATGCAGAAGGTAGGAGGGGAGTAGGTGAGAGGGTAAGCATGACCACTAACCGGGATAAGACCAGAATGCGCCGCAGAAACCAGCGGGCACAAACGAAGGTAGATTCTACCCTGTTCTACAGAGGGGAGGTACGACAACATAGCTCCCGAAGACTAGCATGTCAATCAAAGCCCTCCCCTCAGGACACTTAGGTAGCGGTGTCGCACCCCCATTGCTTCAAGGGTCCGGTTAGATATCCTTCCCCGGACCGAGCTCAGTGGGTTGGAGGACTGGCAGGCTGTCACGCAGAATTTTGGTAGGTATAAAAATAGAGGTGTGTTCAGAGGCAGTCACACTTTATCATACAGCCTAGTAGTCAGGGTTATCCCTCCTGCCAGTGGCGACACGGCTTAGAGTGAGGCGTTCGGGTTTATCGCCTGCACCTGACCCCGTATAAAGGATAGACCCAAGGTCACCGGAGTCCCTATCATTCAAGAGTCCTTCAAGCTGCTTTGAGTGTAACCTGTATAAAATAAGGAGGAAAATAACAAACAT